AAGAAAAATTAACTGAACGCGATTCTAATGTTGAAGCGAGTACTTCTTCCAGAGCGGGAACCTCTTCCAAGGGGAAAATCAGCCTCTCTTTCCAAAGATGGGATGTTACCATCATCACTCGGCGAATCGTACTCTAATATTGCATCTTGCTCTTCGTCTTGTTTCCCGCTGTTTTCTTGTTGCTCCACGAAGTCAGAGCTATTGCCATCGTTGTTTCCTGTCTGACAGAGCGCCGACACACCTCTGCGACAAATGTTTACGCCCAGTCGTATTTTCTGTATGACAGGATCACGGCAATTTCGGCTACATGATACCAGGAATTTGAATTTGTAAGATAGTGCGCCGCCTAACGGGTTGTCCTTTTTAAGCCCTCTTTGGCTGCATTTCCAGACTTTCTTGCGCAATCTAACACCGTGAAAAGTTGATCTTTGTGATGCACAACCAAGTGAATATTCTCCACGTCCAGTTTCATGCAACTCAACAGGTTAAGAGCGTCGTATTGCTATCATTCTGAGACCCGCTTAAGGATTTCAAGGCCGTTAAGCATTTTAATTGACGCAGCAATCTTAGATGCCACGTTACCCTATGGGCTATTGAGATTTTTGATAACTTGGTAATTTCGCTTCTGATAGAATTTTCATTTCCTCGCTGATCAGCTCGACCGCCTCTTAAATCCTAAAGAGCTTTTACGCCTGGTGCCTCTCATGGACTGAGTGATCAAATTCTCCATAAATTCTCGTCAAAAGACATCCCGGTTTTCGGTTTGCTTAAGTGATTATTTCCCGAATCCCGCTCCTCAAAATCGCCGATTCCCGTGTCTCGTTCATAATAACAATCCCGCATCTCGCTTCCTTCTCACTTTAGATTCCCGGATACAAGCCCTCAAATAAGCCCAATCACGAATCCCGAAGAACCTATTGGGGACCCTCCTTTATGGGCACTAGCAGTGTTTTGAGAAGTGGAGATCTGCTGTTTCACATAATTTGAAAATATCGTAATATCGTAATATCGTAAGTGACCGGACGTGCCCAATATTAAAAGTGTTCTTCCATTTTCTGGTTGCATATTGTTGGGAAGACTTTTTAACTGTTTGCACAATTTTCGTTCATGTTTTTGAAAAATTTCGACTTCTCGCTGCAAGCTATTTTATGGAGACCCCTAAAAACTGCGTATCGCCTTACAAATGCAATCCTATGGCGTTTACAATAGAATCAGTTCTCTACACGGAGACAGAGAACTTGCGGATTAAAATGTATTAAAATGCACTCTTTGTCCATAATAGGGGCTTAATTTTGCTGACGAGAAGTGTGGGGGAAAAAAATGCGAGCTCCGCATTTAGGCTTGGCTCAAGCTATACGTTATACCTCAAAGTAAGTTGACTTATTTGCAAGAATTCAAGAGTTGATATAATGGTTTTCCTCAGGATGGACGTGGAAGGAAGGTCGACTTAAACGAAGCTTAAGCTAAAAAATCAAATTGGATTAAACGCTGGTGATAACAGACGTAATTTGTCAATCAACAATTTTTGAGTATACCAATACTCAAATGGTCTAGGCTGTTTTATATAAACAATAAACATGCCATTTCTCTCCAAATTAATAGACTTGCGTCCACATCTCCATACAGGAGTCAGGTACATTCTTTAT